CTGTAGGCGGTCGTATCTCAGCCGTGCGTTCGCATTCGGTAATCTTTAATAATTAATATCTCTTTAACCCTTGTGAAAATTGTAAAATGGTAGAGGACTTTTCGGTTCAGTTTGGTCTGCTCTACCGGCATACGGCCGCTGTGTCAAAATTTTTGGGACACCCTGTATATACACTACGCATCACATGGTTTCAAGCAAAGTGCAACAGTGTTGACGCATAAATACAACCGCATACGTGCATGAGAAGTTCATTTTGTCATAACAACTCGCGGATGTACTATATAGTAGTAAAGTGATTCATAACATCGGCGCGCGTGTTTTGGACATCGTGTATTTTAATCCTTTTAGCTTTCCTTTCCTTTCATTTAAGTGACATGAAAAGTAATCAGAATATTCTTCTTATTTTGTTATTCGTTTTTTCATGTAATTTGTATTGAAAGTCTTTCTTTGTGAGTGCCTGTTTGTCATGGCTACTTCAATCTTTGGAATAAACTGAAAACGTTTCTCGCCTATTTTTCTGGGAAAATATCAAAAGTTGCACACAACCCCAAATCTGACGAATACGGTGAATGGAGTTACACGGTAATTTTTTTATCTGACAAAAATTGTTGTACAAGAAACGATGACAGAAAATGTTGTCATGATAAAGAATAAAACTTCTTGTTCAATTATCCGATCTCTTTCTACACACATCGTTTCGTAACCGTTTTAATGTTTTATACTTTTATAATGTTAAAAGTTTATTGTTCTATCATAACTTTTCAATGTTTTCATTGGATTTTAATGTTAAGGATATTTCGATTTTTCTCGTTCTCAACTGTGACTCAATCATTACAAAATCCCTCGAATCACTTATAAACAGTTTTAAGGATCATTGTAACATTTCCGTGAATTAACATTTCATAGGTTTCGTTCATACTTTTCTAAGGTTTAAAACAAAATATAATATTAATATATTGTTCGCGATTTATTTTTACGATAAGCTTAAAAACCGCAACTTTTCAAAATCGTAACTCAACACTGATTGAACCGAAGGAAATAAAACTTGTGCACGTGTCTCAAAAATCTAATCAATAACCGAAAATCTAACCAGCATTGATCTAACTGATAAGATAGAAAACGTATGTAAATTTACCTATCAATATATTTATTATAATCTATGAAATGTTTGAAAGTCAAGATCAAATTCTTACGTCATGTGAGTTTCACAATGAAATAAGCTAGTGATTCCGAAGTGTTCTCATATATACTTGTCGAGCATTTATCAATTCAACTTATTTAGAGCTATTCAAGTTTATAGTAAGCTTCGAATTTTTGTTTTAACAACAAAATTCAACGTTTGCGAGATTATATATATTCTACTGACATACCTTTAGATTGATACATTTGATCAAGTATTGTTTAAAACATTTAGATTTGTGTTTTTAATTTTCAAAATTATTTAATAAATTTTTGATAAATTTATTTCTGTCAAAGTTTAGCTTATCTTAATATTTATTTAGTATTACATTTCTTGAAACATTTTAAATTTAATTTAGTAATATCTGTTTTTGTCATAAAAAATATCGATTTAAAATTACAATTAGTCAAATAGTTTAAATAAAAATTATTAACAATACACAGAGTAAAATCGCAAATTCTAGCTACAAACAGTAGAAGTCAGTAAACAGCGCACATAGTACAAGCGTCAGAAGATGACCTTCGCTTACCTATACGATCTCACAAATATGTAGTTGTAAAAATTTATGAGTTGATATAACGAGCACGCAACTAAGCTTACGTAACTCTATCTGAGACATTAAATTCTGCCAATTAAATCCAACATTGTAGATATCTTCAATTAACAAAATCTGACCATATGATTTAATCGAATATTTTAGAATATTTGATTATCGCGACATAAAAATCATGACTACAACCAGCGTAGCATAGTTTACTCTGTGTACTTGTGCCAATTAGCAATTTTGTAGCTAATTATACTGAGTGAGTTAAAGATCGAATATTTTTATGTCCTATATATTTACGCACGAGGAATTATCGTGATCACACTATTACTCGTTCATTCACTTTACAACATAAATTAACTGAATCTTCCATTATACGAAATGCATAAAAATTATTTTTATAGATAAGCTGTAAAGAAATGGCGCTCATAACAGCTCACTGGGGCCTGGATGGCATAATAGTTTTGACGACTCTCGTAACGGCTGCTTATCTTTTCATGACGCGCAAATTTAACTACTGGAAAAATCGGGGCGTTACAGAATTGCAACCGACACCATTTTTCGGAAATTTCACGGATTGCATGCTTTTCAAGAAATCTCCCGGATATTTGATGAAAGATTTTTATGATCAAGGAAAAGGATTACCATACTTAGGTTTTTTCATCTTAGACAAGCCCGTCTTGTTGATTCGTGATCGGGAACTTGTCAAGGATGTTTTAATAAAAGACTTTAATTACTTCGCCGATCGATATAGCACGGCAGATACGAAAGACCGTATGGGTTACGTCAATCTATTTTTCCTGAAAAATCCAGCTTGGAAAATTCTGAGAGGAAAGTTAACACCATTCTTTTCGTCTGGCAAACTAAAGAAAATGTTTGAATTAATGGTGGAAGTCGCCAAAAACGTCGACACATGTCTCGAATCGTTGGAACTGGTAGGTAAGTGATAAAAAATTTATAAAATAAAAAACTTTCAAACATAAAAACTATTATGATATTATAATAATTGTGATTGAAAAATTAAGAATACAAGATCTTAGACATTTCTTTAAGTACAGACTTAAATACTTTAAGACAATACAACTTTTTATATAAATTACTTTTCTTATATTTCTTAAATGTATATTATGAATAAAAATCAAATTGGGATGTTAATGACAGGTGAAGGTAAGGAGATGGAAGTGAAAGACATAACCGCGAAATACTCTATCGATATGATCGCTTGCACAGCATTTGGATTCAACGTCAACTCATTGAATAATCCCGACGCTGAATTTCTAAAGTACGCGAAAATAATATTTGAGATCGACATAGTCCGCGGATTAGAATTTTTCGCGATGTTTTTTCTTCCAAGTATAATTAAATGGACCGGTACAAAATCGTTCGGCAAAGCTACCGAATTTTTACGCGAAGTCTTCTGGCAGGCAATTAATGAACGCATAAAATCGGATGTAAAAAGACATGATCTCATTGACATCCTGATCGAACTCAAGAAAAGTCACGGCGACCAGGATGTTGGAGGATTCAGTAAGCATAATGTGATAAATACTCTTCAGCTAATAAAAAAAAATAAAACAAAATGATCGGAAAGTATCTGAGAGACCAATCTAATAAAGACACGAAGTTAATTATTACAAGCATTATAAAGCATTATAAATTTAAAAATTTAGTAATGTGAATTAAATTTTAGAATTTGATGGAGACGATCTAGTCGCACAAGCAGCTATTTTTTTCACGGGTGGTTTTGAATCCTCTACAACGACGATAACTTTCACATTGTATGAGCTCGCGGTATACCCCGAAATTCAGGACAGAGTTAGAAAAGAAATTTTTGATGCGCTCGAAAGAAGTGATGGTAAAATCACTTATGACATGGTACGTAAGCATTTTATGTTAAATAAAATACAAATTTAGACACGCCTTCCTAGCTAATCCGCTACAAAATTTTTTCATAAAATTTGCGCAATGTAAAGGAACAGGTAGAAAGGCGTAAGTTATTGTTAGACGATATTATATTGAGTTAACGCTTTGTTTAAAAAGTTATTCCGTGTATTCATTTACAAACTTTACGACTGATATGTAAATAATACTTCTTTCAGATTATGTCACTATCGTATCTCGACATGGTAGTCTCGGAAATCTTAAGGAAGTATCCGCCGTTGCCGTTTCTGGATCGCGTGACAACGAATACCTATAAAGTACCGGACTCCGATCTAGTTTTGGAGAAGGATACGCCGATTTATGTCTCAATGTTGGGTATGCACTATGATCCGGAATATTTTCCTGATCCGGAGAAATTTGATCCTGAGCGATTCAACGAGGAAAACAAACGCAATATACCTTCATGCGCTTATTTTCCGTTTGGAGAGGGCCCGCATTCATGTATAGGTAAGGAAATCAATATTGATAACGGCATTTAAACAAGATATCAATATTATTTTTTAGTTGCACATAAAATCAAAATAAATCTACTAGATTTATGTGTTATACAACTGTTTAATTAGATGTGTTTTGATAATTGTAAAATTTTAAAATCACATTAATTTTTTTTATATTGAATCTCTAAAATTATACGAACTAGAGAAAAAACAATTTAGAAACCTTTGCGATATGTAAATAGAATGCAAGACGGATTATTCCATGAGTAAATTATAATCATTGATATAATACATTTAATTGTATTTCAAAAATTTTTTAACATATTTATAATTTAATATTTTTAAAAAAATATTGTTATACGTATTATTGTACTGTTATGTGTCTTACAGGACTTCGTTTAGGACTTCTGCAATCAAAATTAGGGATAATTAAAATCTTGATCAATTACGAAGTCACGCCGTCAAGAAAGACTTTAATACCAATGGTATTTGATCCGAAAGCTCTTGCGACTTCGCCTTTAGGTGGAGGAATGTATCTCAATATACGAAAAGTTAAAAACGGTACTAACTTGAAATAATAATTTTATTTTTTTTAACTATTATTCTTAACTATGAGATTTGTTCTTAATATTTAGAATCTATATTTTTACTAAAATAAAAGTATGTTATTGATTAATCTATATAACAAAATTTTTGTTACATTCAGCAATGTTAAAATTTAATTAACACATTATTGAATATACAATTAAACATGATAAATTGATTTATGATAATGTAGAAATACATTTAATTTAAATATCTGAATCTTGTAATTAGTTTCATAATCTTTAATTTGAAAGATGTCTACTAAAAACTCAAAAAATATTTCTCACACTAAATATAATAAAATGTAATAAATTAGTTTAATAATTAATAATTAATTACAATTAATAATTAAAAGCATTTAAACAATGCAAACTAGCCTATGTACTAATAGAAAAATTACAAAAATACAGAAAATTATAATATTGTTACTTGAAAACCTTGCATTTAAAAAAAGTCAATAATACTGTATGTTTGAATAACATGTGTGACCAGAATTTCTTTATCATTTATTTATTTCAACAATCTAGAAACATTACATATTCCGAAGCATGCTATCTACTTCGTATCTTATCTCCGTGACATGCCATTGCCATGATAAGTATTGTAATACAGAGAAGTTATTTAGTATCATCGGTAACAGTAGCGATTAAATAATTTACTGATATACGTATTACATTTTTATTTGTAGTATATATGTAAATTTTTTAGATTTATTAAAGTACAATAAGTTTTATAAAAGAAATGCCGATCACATTCTTCATAGATATACTGTGATTCTACATAGATAAACTCAACGTAAAAAAGACTTACAAGTAAATTTACCGGATACAATATCTGTGGCAGAAAATCAATATAAAATTGTATTGAGAAAATTGTCAAATCGTTGACCAAATTGTTTATAATATAATTTATATTAATTCTGTAGTACGCCAAATTTGTAATTTAGCATTAACAACTTGCTCAATATTGATTGTATTATTTATTTACACAAGCCTTATAAATTTTAATTTATTATCAATATGATATTATTGTTTAGCTAAATTTAAAATAAAAAATTAAGAATATTAACAAAGCAACAATAAACAAAATCAGTATAATATTAATAATGCTTTAATACAAAATAAAAAGTATTTTCAAAAAATCAATCAAATTGCATCTTGATATTCTATAAGTCAGAATCATAAATAATAATTTATTAATTAATCACTTTCATAGAGACAATAAATTCATAATCATGTTATTTAATACGCTATGATATTACTTATTATTTCTCAAGCGATTGAGCAGATGTGAGTTTATGATTGCTATCTTAATCATATGAAAATTATTAATATCATTTTTAGCAAATAAAATTGTAAGCAAAAATAAAAGCAAAAAAGTAATAAAAGTCATATTTCATCATTGTTCAAATTTAAAAAAATTTTAATTTTGAAATAAATTGCAAATCTATTTTCAGCAACAAAATCTACAAGAAAATAAAAATATTTGTTTTTAGAAATTTTATTATAATATTGTTTACATAAAATGTAAATGTAGCATTAGATTTAGTTAATAAATATTGAAATGCATTGGAACATTTGCAAAGATATTATTTCTTTAAAATTGATAATTGCGACATAGATTGCTTATATCATAAATTGCGATTTGCATGATTCATTATTGTAATGATCTATCCGCAACTTAATGATCTCTTGATTGACTAACAATAGTCGAAAGTAATAGAATAAGAAATTGATCATCATAGTATAATGATATCGGCTTAAAATATCGGCATTAAAAATTGTTATTGAGAACTAATTACTCTCGACATAATTAAACAACAAAAGGAAAATGTTCATTCAAATTCCTTTTGTTGATGATTATCAGCGCACCAGCATTTTATAAGAAAACTTGTGGAAATAGCTATAGAAGGAAGCTAGAATTCTAAACCTTTCACACAGAATTTTTCTTCTTTCCTTAAATCGCGAAAAGAAATGTCGAAAAATCTTTAAAAAATCGGTCTTTAATAAATCAACAAGAATATACGTAATGTATAATTGTTTTTTGGAGTTTATGATTTATGCTGTATTCATTTTTCCCGGTAAGATTTCCATACATTATTTCCGGATTGCATTGTGTCTTACAATTAGTCTTTGTTTCTTAAAGTTTTTTTCCTGGATTAATGATAATACCTGATCATTCTGTTTCCCGTATTACTTCAGATTTTCAGTGACGCAGAAAGTCTAATTTGTTAAAATAAATTGTTAAGAACAAATGTTGTGCATACAGAATTTTCAAGAAATAATTATAACGGCATAAAATAAGATTAAAAACACATACTTTTTTTATTGTAAACAATTTTTTAAACGGTTTTTTTCTCCAAAATTATAATTTTCAAGATTTTAATCAATGTTTTTAAAATAAAATAATATAATTTTTTTTTCTACATCAATTAAATTTATTCAGTCTTATAAATACTAAAAATATTGTAGTACTCAGATAGCGGCGCAGGTACAACAATATGTATATAAAAATTACATCAAAATATTGATAACAGGTAAAAAAGAGAAATAAAAATGAAATAGTATTTATACATAAAGATTAAATCGGAATATTGTTAGTAAGAAAAGGCAGAGAAATAAAACATTTTATTATCTTAATGTAGATAAATAATTTTAAGCCTTTCTCATGTCGATTGATATGAAAAATAAAAATAAAAAACTCGACTGCTAAATTTGTTATAAATATAATGATGATTATGACCTATGGATTATGACCTATGGATTATGGCCTATGAATTAAATATTTGGCCTTACTTTATAAATATAAATTCCTCGTTTTTGACACTGAGTTCAAAAAAATATGATAAGATAATTTGAAATTGGCTTTATAATTTAAATTTCTTGCAATATATGCTGGCAAGTGCAGTTTGTTAGAGACAGTCAACACGTAGACTCTGTTATGCATGAGAATCTGGCGTTAAGAAACATAATTATATCAAATTCAAGAAAAATCACGGTGATCAGGATATTGGCGAATTCAGTGAGTAAAGTGCAACAAATTATAATGACTTTTTAAATGCATGTAAAAATTGTTTAATTTATAAAAACAAGAAAAAAATTAAAAACAAGTAATAAGATGACTAGAATGTGTTTGAACAACAAATTTAATAAATAAAGTTAATAAATGCAAGCAATGCATGCAAGCTTTCCAGCTTCAGTAGACTATAAATTAAATTCTAGAATTTAACAGAAATAAAATATAATAGCACACAGCTATTTTTTCACAGATGAATATGAAATCTCTTCAACGTTTTTCATTTTACTTGCGCTTGTATACGTTTAAAAACTCCGAAAAGGCTTATATGTTACGTGCCACAACCTTTCTTATCTCTAAAACCTTCATTATTTCTAAACTCATCTATTTTTTTTTGCCTAAACAAATAATCAGTCGGACCACTAAATATAGATCTGTTAAACTTTCCCTCACGAAATACTTCCCTTAATAAAACTCTCAAATAAAAACATATAACTTTCTAAACTTTCTTAATCATAAATCTTTCCTACCCTTCTATCTTTCTTGCCGACAAAATACCTCGAACCTTTGGAACGAAGGTCCAGCTCATGTGTTTAATTTTTAGTTCTCGTTCGTAGCTCTGACGAGCAACATCTCTAGCAGCCCAAAATAACAGTCTCATAGAAAGTATTCTGTTCTTTAAGTATTTCATAATAACTATTGCGTTTCATATTCGTTCATAACAGCACACTCAACTTACGTAATCCATAAAAAGAACTGCGTTTAAAAGTGTGTCATCATTACAGATATAATTCACTATTTTGCAAATAAGATAAAAGTTAACATCTCACCGAGATGGATGTGAAATATAAAATGACATCATTTAATAATCTATATATATATAGTTCAACTGTTAAAAAATATATTCAAATAAATCATGTTTTTTGTCATCGGCAAAGATTATATTCAGTTTCTTTCGTCACTTTATCTCTTTCTCAATACATTTCCACATTCTTCATTATATAAGTCTTATAAGATACAACTTTTATCTGGCATAAGCAGTCTAGTTTCGAATGTCGAGTTTTAAACAACAGTGCGCGATCAGTGTTTTATCAGTATTTTACATGATATAAATATTTTCCACCGAAAGTTTTGACCAACAACTCGAATGACCTAGTGACTAGTGATCTATCCTTGTAAATATTATATTTTTTATTGATTATTATTTTATGGAATTATTTGAGATATTCAGTGGTATTCATTCGTCTTTTTTAGAAGAATTACGTTGTTAAAACACACACGAACGTATGTACGCATATATACAGGGTGTCCGACAATTGCTGAATTATCTCTCGGGTGTAGGTAGAGCGGGTTAAACCGAGTAGAAAAGTCCTTTACCGTTTTGCGATTTTCGCAATAATTAATGAGAAATTAATTAAAGAAGATCGGCCAATTTCCGCGAGTCTAAGCGCGCAGCGAGAAGAGACAGCCCACTGTTACGTAATCGCTAGGACGCAAGGATCTAGCGTTACACACCGCTCGTATGTGCCGTTGTCATTTATAGAGCGCTCCTCCCAACAATTTATCGTACGCCTAGTAACCAAAGAACAGTGGGCTGTATCACCACGGGTCTCTTCTCGCCGCGCTCTTAAACTCGCGCGAATTGGCCGATATTTTTTAATTAATTCCTCATTAATTATTGCAAAAATCGCAAAATAATAAAGAACTTTTCTATTCGGTTTAAACCGCTCTACCTACACCCGAGAGGTGATTCAGCAATTATCGGACACCCTGTACATATACATATACACATTATCACAAATTTTATTATCACTCAAAATTATATAGTATGAAACTGCGTAAAACTCTTTATACAAAAATATTTGTAAAAATTAAAAAATCTTGCTATGACAAAATAAAAATATTCATAAAAATTTATGTAACTTTTACTGCTTCTGAACACGATATTCTGAACACGATTTGAAACTGACAGAGTTGGTAAGAATTATCACTAAAGGTTTATAATTATCCTTATCTGCTATTCTATATATAGCAAGTGATATAACAAGTATGTATATATATATATATATATATATATATATATATATATA